TTCTTTCTTAGATAATAAAGTTTAAAAAAAAAATGCCCTTTTATCATGCTCAATTCTGTAGTTGCATTTCAACGGGCTGCAGAGTGGTCCACATGGAACTTTTTACTACAACTTTAATAATTAATAATTGTAGATTTATTTTTGTTTTATCGTACTTCCTGTGCACTTTTTTTACATACCTTTGCTATTTCAAGTTTCCATGCCTTATAGTTTTTGTGTAACAAAAAAATTTTAACGCAAAGTTATACACCCAAAACAGCGGTGGTGGCTCTTATAATTTCTTTCATATAGAGAGAAATTTAGTTTTTTTCTCCATTTTTGAATTGAGGTGCATTCGTGCATTCGGTCTATCATAATAATTATCATACTTTAAATCGTAAGTTCAAAAAGAGATGCCTCATATTAAAACCTTTCCTTCATTAATTCACTTGTTTTTCTTTTAGAAAACGCATTTCATCTCTCATAATTTAGGAAGATTTGCCAAAGTAACGCAGATGTACAGTGAGCAACATAAAAAACAGAACGCCCTTATTAACTTTTGATGTAATGATTGAATCTTCACGTTCTAAGGATTCAATATTAATGGTGTGACCATTAATATTGATCGAATAAGCTAATTACGGAGTGACCTTAAATATGCCAATTAATTAATGCAGAAGATATTTTAAGTAACGAAATCAAAGACAAAAACCTATTTTTTCGAATAAACATGCCTTTTTTTCGACGGATTCGGATTTCTGATCTACAACATATAGGGGGTAATCGCAATCTGGAAATTATGGCCCCCATAGCTTGGTTAGGCGAGCGGTCCTAAGTTTCGTCTCCTTAATACTAATTCTATTTCTTACGCATTTCGCCATATCTCAAGAACTTTTTAAGCGAATTGAAAGATTTTTACACACAATTATAATACATATATTTCTCAAAAGATAATTTTCATGCGAAATACAACTTTTAATAAATATTTATTATTTTTTACTATTTTGTTTAATAATGGTCAAAAAAAGTTTGAATTGTAAGGCATATAATTTTTGACATTATTCGAAAGAATGTAATTTTACATGGAAAAATGCAAAATTAATGTGAGTGAAATTGATCGAAAGTTCCTGAGATATTGAATTGTAAATATACGGATGTTGCGATATAAAATTGGCTGTACTCTTCTATAGGTTAAGTGCAGAGGTACTTCATAGCGTTTTAAAACAAAAAGAACTCATATATAAAATGGATTTATATCTTTTATGTTAATTTTCTCAGTTTACGTTCACTAATCGTGCAATAGATCTTACCAGATTGAGTGGTTGCTGCTTCATCCCTATATGCCAGCATAAAGAGAAACTTCCCGAAATCAAGTTCTTCAAACTCATCCTTTTCCATGCTGTCAAAAGTATTCACAATTTCAGAGCGAGTAACGGTTGGATCGAAATCTTTAAAAGTATCAACAAACTCTTCGAGACTAAACCATCCTTGTCGGGCGACCATGACTTGACTCAAAATCTCTTTGAACAGGAAAAGCTGTTGCGTGATAGAACGTCATTTCATTATTCGATAAAATAAAACCAATTCAATTTAGTCCCCAATAAATTTCTCCCAGTACTTGATTCTGCAGTCCTCTTATCTTCTGGATCGAGTTCAAACTTACAAGGCCACGGAGTTAACACTGGTAATCTTAATTTCAAATTTAGGACGGTTGCTCAACAATGGTTATAAGATACTAAAACAATGAGCCGTGGTGGCTAAAGGGATAAAGTGTTTGCCTCCCAAAGAGGTGAACCGGTTTCGAATCCCAGCCAGGACTGGTCGATACGAATTTCACACCTGCCTCGCACTGTCAACAGTGCTGACGCAAAATATCCTCAGTGGTAGACGAATCATGGGTTAGAGTCCTCTTACCGTCATGATTACCGTGAGGGAGTTTTGGTGGTTTTCCTCTCAATGTAGCGCAAATGCGGGTTAGTTCAATCAAAAACTCCTCCAGGAAGGCAAATTTCCCCCAAGACTTGATCCAAGAGTTCTTTTGTCTTCTCGGTAAGGTTCTAAATTACAAGGCTATGGAGTTGAGCATTGGTAGTCGTAAACTGGTAGTCGGCTGTTCAACGACGGTTATAAAATAAAATGCCAAAACAATGAGAAGTAGTTGCTCGGAGAATAAAGCAATCGCCTCCCAATGTGGTGACCTGGGTACGAATCCCAGTGATGACTGGTCGATACGAATTCGGCACCCGGCTCCCACCGTCCACAGTACCGACGTAAAATATCCTCAGTGGTAAACGCATCATGGGTAAGAGTCCCATTGCAGTCAGGATAATCGTGGGAGGGTTTCGTGGTTTTTCCTCTCCATTTAAACACAAATACGGGTTAGCTTCATCAGAAAGTCCTCCACGAAGGCAAATTTCTCCCAATACTTGATCCAAGAGTTCCCTTGTTTTCTAGATTGAGTTCAAAATTACAAAGCTATGGAGTAGACATCGGAAATCGTAAACTCAAAAATTGGGTCGGCTGCTCAATAAAAATAAATTAATAATTAAAGAAAAATACTGAAATAAAAAAATACTAAAACAATGGGAACAACTTAAAGCTAATGAGTACACTAGTGAACTAACTCACATATCACTCTTTATTGTTTTGCAACATGTAATTGGTAAGAGGACTCAAATAAATAAGTCGATTGTGATAAAAATTGAAAAACAGAATTATCACGAATGAAAAATGTTATAAGTTCTTTTATGTATACAAGCGTTTTGTTAATTTAAAATTATAGGTATTTCTGTGATAGCCTGCTGTGATTTAGTAAGATCATGGAGGTTAAGGTTCGTTACCATCGATATGTTGAAGGCAAATTGGTCAATGTTGCACGCCGTTACGCCCAAGGCAAGCTGGCACCCATCGATCTGAAGCTGGGTGGTCTTCGCACAACTATCAGGTATCGGATCTCGATTTAGTGCCTTAACCACTGGGCCATCGCAGTACAGTAATTATCCCCCTTAATAGGTATTTTTCCAATTCATTTCAGAAATGAAGTGAAATGAAGAATGAAGTGATCACACAGTAAGGGTCGCTGATTTAAACTCCCACAATGAAAAAACTAGAACACAATCAAAATTTGACGAATCATAAATAAAATATTATGATTGTATGAATATTAGAACATTTAGTTTGAACTGGCAAACAAAGTGATTCTGATTCTTGTTATCCCGCACCTTCTTCAGTAGTGATTTGTCAGATTTTTTTCTTACTCAAATCTTAATTTGTGCCCCTCGTGTGCACTCGAGTTTGATTCAATTTTCGACAAGGGCTATATAAAATATACATTAACAACAATGATTACGAAGCAGGATATGTATACCTTATCTCGAATTGAATCGAAATCACTGTTACGCTAATAGTCTGAATGTATAAAAGAAATTTAAGAAAGAAAGAAGCATTTACTTGAGTGCTGTTTAGAAATTTAAACCACCTGGGCTTCTTTGGACCAAAAGCTCTGATACTGATGTTCTTGGCATATGGACTTGAATAAATGGGATGCCTAGGTTCTGCAAGAATAAAAGGGATGAGTTTATTTTTCTCAGAATACATAAAATTAAGCTGAAGTAAAATTGCGTTATCATACCTGCATGAATAGGTCTGCGAAAGACACGGCGCAGTCTCGATTCTTCAATCTGGATTTTGGAAATTAAAGTAACATGTGTATTTACATATATAATCCTATAAGTACAGCAAACTTCTTTTAATCAAATTTAAATAGAACCAAGAATAACTTCACGATCTAAGAGGATTCTAATATCACGGGACAAGCCTTTCCTGGCAAATTCTGTTTTAACTCCATTGGTACTTTAGTATTTTAAAATTTTAATTTAAAGTGAATTCAAGTAAACCTCGAGTAAATCATGAAGTTTTAATTGCTGATTTTTTTTGAAATATTAAAATGTGAACTAATTATGGCAGGATTATTTGAGATTATGTAGGGAGAATGCCGAATTTTTTTTCTTAAAAATATCAAAATGCAAACTAATTATGGCAGAATTACTTAAGATTACGTAGTGGGCATGTTGGAATTGTTTTTTCAAACTATAAGTCCAAATGCAAACTAATTATTGCATGATGAGTACTCACGATTTTGTAGTGAGAATGCTGAAATTTGTTTTTCAAAATGTCAAAATGCAAACTAATTATGGCAGGATTACGTAGTGAGATGGCTGAAATTTTTTTCAAAATATCAAGATGAAAACTAATTATGTCAGGATTAAAGATTGTGAAGTGAGAACGCTGGAATTGTTTTTTTCTTCTTCTTCAAAATATCCAAATGCAAACTAATTATGACGGGATTGCTTAAGATTACGTAGAGGGAAAGCTGAAAATTTGTTATCAAAATATCGAAATACAAACTAATTATGGGAAGATTATTTGAGATTACGTAATGGGAAAGTAATTCTGCCACAATTTGCTCTGATTTCGATATTTTTAAAACATATTTTCTTTAACAATTTAAAACTTAATGGTTTGCTCTAGGTTTGCCTGAACTCCCATTTTATATAGGTTAAAATATAAATTATTAATTACTTAAGGTGAAAAAAAATTTGCCATGAAGGCTTTCTCTCGTATAAAGACGTCCTCTTAAAACTCAGCTAAATGAAAGAAGAATTGCTAGCATAATTTTTTGAAAGAAACACTGCTCTTTTGCTTATGTGGCTAAACTGTATGGTGACATGAGCAAACATGGCGCCATTTAAAGCAAAGGTCGTAATTGCATGGCTTGAGAACCACTAGTGGTCCTCCAAAGATATTTGAGTGGCCATCTGAGCATATTTCAGAGGTCTTCTGAATTCTCTCATTCCTTTAAAAATAATAATTTGATCTGAAATTGAAAAGGACTGCAGAATGAAAATTATTTCATGTAGTAACTAGTGGGGTAAAACTTGTTGTTAAGATTTGCTCAATAGCTACGAATTAATAAGTTTAGTGTTTTATTGAGACAAAATAAATATTAAAACACTAGACAGAGTAAGAACATCGAATCGGAAGCAAGAACATAACGTTTCATAAATCAGCACTTGAGGGATACTTTGAAATTTATAACTACAACTATTTCACGTGATATTGAAGCTTTAGTTAAGTAAGAAATAAGACCAAATCATACCTTTAATTTGAAGTAGCTATTACCCTTTCGTAACATAATAATTTTTTTTCCTTGCAACTGACGTGGGAAATATCTTCAAAAGATGCATTCAAATGATAGAATCTCTATTTTTTAATAGCAGATTTAGTTTCTTCGGAAAAAAATAATTCAGTTTGAGATCACAGATAATTGTATTGATAGTTTCATAATTGAAAAAAGAAAATGATTTACGAATGGTTTGTTGTTATTGTTGTCATTGCCCATTAAGGCAGAGGAGGTGCGATTTCCCTTGTTTTCCAGTGGTGCCCTCTACAGCAAAGAATTCGACTTCTGCCACATCCATACGTCACAGCCGTTTATAGGGCGGACCCATTCATACAACCATTCATTCATCCACAGATCGTAATTTTGACCTGAACCAGAGAATGATCAATCTCAATCATCAAATTTGTTGTGGGAACATGGAAGACTTTATGACCAGGCATATTCAACGTGCACCAGTAACCATTTACTACTCGGAGAATCTTCGGCCGGCTGGATTCGAGCTCCCGTTCTCACAAACGTGAGTTCAGCGTCCTGCCATTAAGGCTATTCTGGCTTACGAAATGTTTAAAATGGAGGTATCTCGATAAATTCACACCAACCATGACCAAACATCTAGCCCCGTTTTCCAGAGCTTCATCTTCTACACGACCATTGTAAGAATACCACGTATTTATCCTAGTCAACGCCTGAGGTTGGTACTTCTCTTTCTCCAAACATCTACACCACAACCAACGACAGGTCCCTTAGTCATGACAGATTTAACGAGAACCTTATTCGGCAATATTTCATTTGTGTATTCTTAGAGTTTTGATCCGATTTGTATTTCTCAAAATATTTGACCGTGTTCGGATACCGTGCATACTTTTATTTTGAACCAGGTAGTATGCCGCCAGTATCTTGAACAACTTGCCAGTATCTTGAGTGATTGATTTCCTTTTTGTAAACTTATCTTGAAATTTAAATAAACTCTTGATTTGAAAAAAAAAATCAAGTTTTTTTTTTCATTTAAGACTTAAATCAGACCACACCAGTGACTCAACACAGCTTTAAAATAATAAAAAGTATGTTTCTTTGAATATTGCATGCGAGTAATTTAACTTAAGAAAATGGGAATAATTGCCAAACGACTCAGAAACGTTGTACCAATTTGTAGGTAAAAAAAAGCCATTCCTAATGGTGTAATCATTCAAAAAGCTATTAAGAAATGTTTAGTTTGAAAAAATATTTTAATTTCCGTATAATATTGTGCTTAAAGTACTCTACACAGGTAGGTGAAGATAATTGATACTGAATAATTGAAAAGTAGAAAACGCTATGTTTGTTCTAGATTTATTAGTGACCCTACGTGCATGCACCCATACATAACATACAGGGTGTTCCCAAAACTAGACCGACAAATTTAGAAGATGATAAAAAGCATCAACAGGATAAAAAACTTAAATGGGGTCGCAAACCGCGTGGAGACGATGAAAATCGCGAAATACCCCTGCAGGTTTCGACACGCTGTAGTCGGTACACGGCGAAAGCTGGCTAAGACTATCAATTCAATTATATTCTCTAAAATTTATAAATATGTAGGTTTTCAAAGTGTCTGATTAAGAATCTAATATTAGAATTTCAATATTCAAAATGGCTGCGTTTAAGTGCCAAAATTTGATTAAGTATGTCTAATTTATCATAAGCATTAATTCATGAGTTATATTTTTTATTATTATTCCGTACATTTAAGGTTGATATGTAGCTATTATACATCCAAAATTTACTGAGGAATTATGGCGTGTAACAATAAATAAATAAATTAAATTTGTATTTTTTGGTCAAATTTTCTTGAGTTCTGACCACTGTGATACGTAGCGTCGAAAAACAACTACAAAAGATACTAATTGCATTTTTCGAGTTTATAACAACAAATAAATTTATTTGATAAATCATAACAGCAGTTGCTCGAATTGGCGTACACTGACATCAATGATGAGTCTATCACCCTTTAAAATGATACCTGAATGAACTCGAAGTTGTTAGACGTGCTTTTGATCTCTTAAGAAGCGAGTACATGGCATCCTTCGTTGTGACTACGGCGTCTTATAAACTACTGATTTAAGGTGATCGCATAGGAAAAAGTTACATGAATTGAGACCCAGCTAAGTTGAAGCCAAATAACGGGTCCCGCACGTCACTTACACTTTATGCGATTTTCCAAATCTCAACGTTTGCTGGCGTTCCTGTTCTCTATGGTAAGTTCTCATTTTCTTCTTGATGCTTTTTATCACCGTTTTAAGTTCGTCGATCCAACTACGCAATACCTTGTATGCTGGGAATCCTGTTATCTCCACCTTTAGTGTACACTTTAGAAATGTGGTGAAAAATAAAATCGGACAAGTATGCGTATTAGTGATTGCAAATTAGTGCTTAAATCGCTATTGAAATTATTGCAGTCGAATTAATAGGCATTAAAAAATACAAAGAAGATTTTTTAAAAAAAGCAACATTAAAAACTAGTCTGAGAAAATCTGCAGGCGTTTCAAATAGTAGCGTTTCAATTCTTAACTGTTCCCTCTGGAATTCAAACAAGTTTTGATGATTTTAGCACGGTTTCCCTTAATACATAATGATTTCTCAGATTTCGATACTGTTTTTGTTTCTCTTAAATTGGTCTTTTAAATGTGTAAATGTTTTTCTTCATTTTTGATAAATATTCAATAAACATATAATAAGACCCCGAATATTGACAACCTTTCTAATGCTCCAAGAGAAGAATAAAAAAGAACAGTTTCCTTTCTATAGTTAATAATTTACCTTTCTTTTTTCTAATTTTAATGCCTCCTCCTCTTCGATTTCTCGTCTATCTCTGGTAGAATCTTCTTTCAGATCTGTTACTGGTGCTCTTGTTATTAGCGGTATGGGGAATTCCATAGCCAAAGATTTTAACGCTTTTTCGTTTTAATTAAAAGCTGTCTATTCTCTGTAAGGAATAATAAATGCATCAAAATTAAACATATATTAATGATAGTAACGTAGGGAGAAAGAACACCCAAATCATGATTACTGAGTAATTATTATTGTTGCTGTTTTAGAATGGCCATTTCGGAATCTCATTATATTTATTATTATTTTTCATTCACTACAACCATATCACAATAACCACATGAAAATTGTATGAAGCGGAATAGAAACACAACTGAAAATATGACGCCTCAAACAGCATCGCTGGGGTCTCTGTTGTGGTTCTGCAGCGCCGGGAGTTAATTCGTCACATTAGTCAAGAAAACAAACACATCAAGTTACAATGGATCCCTGGACACAGTAGCATTTATGGGAACGATCAAGCAGATCTTCTCGCACGAAAAGGTACTCTTCTACACCAAACAAATGACTCTGGGCTGTCTTTTCACTCGAAAAAGCTCTTCTGGATGCAAGCTTTGAAGTCGAAATTCAAAACACAAATACAAGATATGATTAAATCCAAGACCAAGAGTAGTGAAGATCTTGCTAATCTACCCGATTGCCCAAGACGCGAGGCAGT